CTGGCGACAGAAGGTTAGATTTTATTAAAATTTCTGTTGTACACGATATAAGTCTTGTAAAACAAAGAAACTGTGTGCGACTGAAAATAAGACCCTACTCGCGGATTTAGCTTATTATAACTGTAAAGTTTTAACTTCTGCCCATCCACTGTTTAATAACTTAATTGATGATGATGGACGTTCTAGAAAATCGCTAGACTCTCTCAGTCAGAAGATGATTATGTCGAAGTCTCCCGTCTTATTAAACCTTATTAATATCTTATTAATACCTTAGGCTAGCCTTTTGTCCTAATCTTAATATACTTGCTCTGTTTGATCCTTATTCTATTTACTGTACAATACCGTTATCATTGTTTATTTAGTCCATCCATAGATAAGTCCTGTACTTATAAACTATCCTTGGATCTCCCCGCCTCGATAAGTTCATAAGCTACTTGCGAGGAGAAAACAATGTATTTAGTTATATTTCTAGTCTTGAACTAAATTGTTGTTGTTAAAAAAAAAACCGAACAAACAAACAAAACAAAACAAAAAGAAAAAGATAGTTTACACCTTGCACCATGCCAAAAAGAACAGCAATGATTAGAAGAGTAGAACCGGCAGCTGTTTTAAAGTCAGTGACCGGCAAGCGAGTACGAATAAGATCAATCACATCAGTGTCTCCACCCGCTGTGGCGAAATGTAACATATTCCTTCTGTAGTTATCAACACAGTTTACATTTGCCCCCTTCTCAAGAAACCACTTCACTGCTTGTAATTTGCCAGTCGAAGCTGCCACCATTAGTGGCGTGTAACCCTCGGCTGTTTTAGACTCAATGTCTGGCAAGTGAGTATGGATGAGATCAATGACATCAGTGTCTCCACCCTCTGCGGCGAAATGTAACATATTCCTTCTTTTGTTAGCAACACAGGTTACATTTGCCCCCTTCTCAAGAAACCATTTCACTGCTTGCAATTTGCCAGTCAAAGCCGCCAGCATTAGTGGCGTGTAACCCTCGGCTGTTTTGGACTCAATGTCTGGCAAGTAAGTATGGATAAGATCAATGATATCAGTGTCTCCACCCACTGCGGCAAAATGTAACATATTCCTTCCTATATTATCAACACAGGTTACATCTGCCCCCTTCTCAAGAAACCATTTCACTGCGTGTAATTTGCCACTCAAAGCCGCCATCATTAGTGGTGTGTAACCCTCGGCTGTTTTGGACTTAATGTCTGGAAAATGAGTATGGATAAGATCAATGACATCAGTGTCTCCACCTTCTGCGGCAAAATGTAACATGTTCCTTCTTTCTTTAGCAACACAGGTTACATTTGCCCCCTTCTCAAGAAACCATCTCACTGCTTGTAAATTGCCAGTCAAAGCCGCCAGCATTAGTGGCGTGTAACCGTCGGCTGTTTTGGACTCAATGTCCGGCAAGTGAGTATGGATAAGATCAATGACACAAGTGTCTCCACCCTGTGCAGCAAAATGTAACATGCTCCATTTTCTGTTTCCAACACTGGATACATTTGCCCCCTTCTCAAGAAACCATTTTACTCCGTGTAATTTGCCAGTCGAAGCCGCCAGCATTAGTGGCGTGTAACCCTCGGCTGTTTTGGACTCAATGTC